TGTTTAGCGTTTTGTAAGGAGTGTTCAATCGTGCCTATTGGGTTGTATGAGACAGCGAGAGAAATTCTCTTCATGGGCAATAAATGCAGACTCCTGCCAGAATTATTACATTTTAAGGTCACCGACGTCTTCAATCGCTCTGCTGTTTGCACATGCGGCCCCCAAATCAAACCGGATCAGGCCAAGGGGAGAGAGGAATAGTGGACGGGAGACGGTTGAGGTCATCTCCCGCACCCATAACTGAAGGTAGCTTGAACGCTCGTCTTGTCTACTTCTTGCCTGACCTGCAGGCTTTGCAGAGGCCAGGTGTATAATTAATGTGATATTATCATATTCATTAATGCCACACAATTTTGCTGCAGATGCGGCCGAATCCGACATCTCGGATAGGGCTCCAGGCGCCCTCAGTCTGTGATCCCAAGCTGGCCATACAAGTGTGAGTCAGGCGGCAAAACGGGAAGAAGGTTGTTTTGACAGGATGTTGACCCTGATGCACATTCAAGCGGCGGATGAATGGCAAAATGTTTCACCACTTGTCTACGCTCGGCAAGGCTATTAGGGGCCAGCTGACCTGTGCTTTATTCATCTCTACTCCTCACTGAGACATAAATGCCATCTTGGCTGGCACAAGATGATTTAGTACGGATGGTTGAATTCGGCCACAATCAAATGGGTAGGATGAGAAAGCACCGTTTGGACGGCGAGGCAATGCCAATTTCGATGGCAATGTTACATGTACCCATTTAATTGTGGGAAAATTCAGCCATGCCATCGTATCCGACCAAAGGCAACTAAAGTTACTACCTAACAATTGGCTGAACTTTCGCTGATATAGATAGATAGATATGAAATGATTTAGTTAGTTCTATACCATATTTTTCATGGTACTTGTAAATAAGGACTGTGTTCACCCCATTTCCTTTGAGTTGATAAAGGACTGATAGTTGAATTTTTCCATGATCATATAAATAGGCTTTACGTTTTCATGGAATTGCAAATATCCTTGCTTCGCGAAAGTTATTCTCAACCATACAGGGCTGGGTTTCAGTTTCGATCTCGCCTAGGAGATAGGTAATATATTTTCTTGCTTCATTGAAGATT